CCCTTCGGGGGGAAACCCCCCCCCCCCCCCCCCCCCCCCCCCCCGCCATAGACCAGATTTAACCGTGGAGGGGGACTGACAGCCGCCTTCTGAAACCCTACATAACGCATCGTGGGGGTTGAGGACTCCACTACTCCCTCACTCCACTACTCATAAAGTAAGACACCTGACACCCTGATTCTTCCACCTGGGAACCAATCAGCAACCTGTTATTTCAAAGACAAACCTGAAGGACCAAGGTTGCCCATGAGCTCAATGCCAAACCAAACTCTCCCATCACATTTTTACTTTTAAAAATCTAATCCCAGAACAGAGCTGTACATTAAGGAACAAAAGGTCATTATGGAATCTTTTCAAAGAGCTCTTTTAAAAGCATTAGTTGAGAAAGAGTTTATGAATTCCTCCTTGTCCTTTCCTCTGGAGAAAAAAAAATGGAACCTGTAAGAACAACTGGATGCACCAAGCTGAGGGTGTTGAAATAGACTAGCTGCCGACCTGGATTTGCAAATATTCATGGGGCATGAAATTATTTGTTTTGACCTCCACCCAGAATTTCAGGAAAGGTGGAGCCATTTACCAGGATATGTGCTTTTCTACTGTTTGCTTTGTTATCACCAGAATTCAATCTAATTCCTTAGTTCCATTTCTTTCCCTCCAAGGGTGCAGGGCAGGGGTGGGGTGGGAGCATTTTCCACCTCGACTTGCATCTCACTGTTCACTCTTAACAATTTGACAAGGAACCTCTGGAAGATACAAACTTCACTTTAGTGAAGGTGGAATCATTTGTTTTCACTCGCCTCAAACTTGCCAAGACTTCAAGAAAGGTCTTGGGACTCAGAGGAATGGGGTGGATCTGTGAAGTTCAGAAGTCTGCCTCTCATCCCGATACCAGGAGCTGCACACTCAGCCCTGCCTAACTCCCTTGGATGGTCCGTTTCCACCCAGGTAATAAAGACAGAGAGGTTCCACCCTCTGAGGAAAGGTGAGTCACAGGGTTCGCTTCTGGATTGTGCCTGTTGCCTCTCATTGGCTATACTGCAGGGTCCTTTGACCACATCTCTGAAGACCTTTGGCTTAATGCCCTCCCAACCTTCGCTTCTTCCGCACCCAACATGACACATATGCAATAAAGTTTACTCTCAACAACACTGGAGCATTTTGACACTACTAGGCCCAAATGAGCACTCACCAAATGGAAACTTGCCGAAGTAAGTAGGGAAAACAAATCTAGTATGCTTTAAGATGATGTGATGGTGTAGGTTCAGGTCCAGTTTGAAACAATGGCTCTGGTTCACTCTAATTGTATCCACACTGGATTTGTTTATGCCAGTCTGTGTTCTTCAAGCTTTGAGAGCCACTGGGCAGAAGAAAGAATTAAATTTAAAAAGAGCTTCTGGATCATTGGAGATTAAAAGCCAGCTTTCTACAGATGGCCTCACACTAAAAATGCAGAGACCAGGTGTGAGAGGCCATGGTAGAGTTACCAGCATTGGCTTCTCAAGTTCTGGCCTCCTACCTTCCACTAGAACTCCTGTCAGTTCATCCACCTCACTTGAGGAGAAACTAAGGCACAGAAGGCCTGTCACTGCACAGGAAACGAGAAACGGAGGGCTTTCTTTCCTTGCTCAACCAATCCTGCCTGGATCTCACATTTTCTTCACCAGCAGTCACATGCCTGATTTGTCATCTCCAGCCTTCTGATTAATTTTTCAAGGTCACCCCTTGCCTGAAATATGACTTCATCGCACCTGCAGCACTTTATTGTCCAAATGTCCTTGGCAAACCTCACCGTCTTTGGACAGTGTTGCATTTTCTCCAAACAGGAAATCCTCCCTCCTTCCCCCAGCTTCATAAGGCTATTGCAGAGCATCCAGATAACACAGCCCTTGTTCCTCCGGCAAACTCAGCTTCCTTTGCTAACTTAATAAAACGGCTCTTTATTGTCTGGGCGGTGAGGCTGGGTTAATGTTCAATTT